AAACCAAAACTAACCGAATGTTTCAAAATGTATCACAACATGAACTTTGGATCGGACCTTGGTGCGGATTTTATCATAAATGTTTTTTACCTCAGATTTGTGAAGTGATCCACTGTTTGGCTTCAAGTGTTGAATATAAAGAGTTTAAACAACAATTAACCATCAGGTTTCTTCAACTTTAACTCAGGAGCAAAAATCAGCCTTTAAACTCGAAAGAAATAACGATTTGATACCTATCGTGATAATTATCGATATCGAAAGATATGAAACTTTTATCGTGATAACATTTTTGGCCATATCGTCCAGCCCTACCCCTAATACGTTCAGGTCAATCTGATAATATATCAGCAACTACTAGCTTATCACAGATATACTGGCATTTTTAAATGTTGTGTTTTCTGTTTTGTCCAAGGTTGTTGTGTTTTGCACTGTATGTAAGTAAGAAATGCCAAAGATATGATTAAGGGGATTTAGAAACAGTGACATCTCCTCAGAGATCTCTTGGTCACATTCTCAGTGACTTTGTCAATGTGGTGCCATTCACTGTTAGTTGTTCACATTTTACATTTAACCACCAAAATGGAGTCTGGATCTTTTCAGTGTAAACATGTAATGATTTTCAAGCAAGCAAATGACCTGAGGCAGAAGATGACGACACAGCTGGCACACTCTCTCTCTCTCTCTCTCTCTGTCACATACACACATTCACAGACTGTCCAATTTGCACATGTGAGCAAAGCACACAATAAAGGTTCAAGAGGGCCGCGTTGTAATTTCCTTGAGGGGGGTCATGTGAGTATCCAGCAGGATTTGTATGATGACTCACAGCTATTTGTCTCATGAAAGTAACCTAATACAAACATGAGAGAGGAAACTGAAATGTCCACATCAATTGCCATAATTAGAAAACAGCTTCAGATTCTGGATCCTGGCGGACTCAGATTTGTGATGCTGAGGTACTGATTTTTTATATGAAAACAAAACCCTAATCAAAAAGGTTTTGAAATACGGTATTGTATTGCATTTACCTTAGAAACTAACAAGTTTACATACTGTCAGGCCCCCAGACACTAAGGACAGCTCCCCAACTCCTGGCCCGCGGAACCACTATAAAACTAGCACCACAGCCCCAGAGGAACCGCAGGTAATGATTAATCAAATCATTTTTTTCATCCAAAAATTCGATCCCTGGGCAATGTTTCAATCATAAAAGGCAACCTGCTCCTCTAAACCTGCTCCTCTAATTTAACATTTCTTTTATCCCATAACATTAGCAACTCAGTGTTACAAACATTTTTCACATTCTACTGAAGAAATTTCCTTTGCCCTGCCATTTTAATACTGGGATAACCACATTATCTGAGGTCACCAAACCATCCAATCCCTGCTTTAAAGCAATATTGTTCTGTGGATTTAGAAAGAAATCCCCCATGCCTTCCAGGATTGATTAGAAAATCAGTCACCTGCTAAGCTGAATCAGATAGATCCTGAGGCATCTCATCTCATTATTAATGTTACCACCTGTTTAGACAATCTGCTTAAACATGTGGACTTTGCTTTGTGATATAGCACCACTGCTCATTTTAATACACCTAACATTATATTTCCTAAAAATGTAAAAATGTCTTCGGAAATCTTCTAAATCTCTAAATCCACAGAACACTACTGCTTAAGATAAGATATTGGATGGTTTGATGATATCCCGTATGAAAATTGCGGAGTCAAGGAAATTCCTTCAATAGAATATAAAAAAAAATGTTTGTAACAATGAGTGGCTCCCAAGTAAGAAACGTTCTCTCATTTACCTCTGACAGCCTGTGTGCTGCTTCCAAATGTGAAGAATAGGGTCGGATTTTCCGCTAAATCCATTGGTTTCCCGAGCCTCTAGCCTACTGATTCTGAACTGTACACACAGTGACAACGACGCAGCTAACGAAACATTGTCCGCAAACACCAAAAAACGAAACTAACACAGACTCCACGTCTGCTGACCAGTTGCTAACATTTTCCGTTGCAAAATAGAATAGTTGTACTGCTTGCCACACACACCAGCCTTGACAACACACACTGGAAGACCCATTCAGTACAGTAATGTTGCTTACTAACTGTTATACTAAACTACATGGATTAGTTCATCACCAAGCTGCTAAAAATGTTACTGTAACGTTGCAGTGGGAGTTTACCTGAGTTTCCAGCATTGTGTGTGATGCCATCTGCGGTTTGTCGGCCTCTGTTTTCACCGACGCAGAGTGCTCCCTCGAACAAGCAAACACTTGGAAAGTAGTGGTTGCAATCTGAAACTCACTACTAAAGGACGCTCAAAACTACACATGGCCCCTTTAACAAAACAACAGACAAGACAAATAGTGTTGAACTGATGTCCTTAACACAAGGTTATAAAGCCATGGCTCTACAGCAGCATGTGAAGGGTTAGAGAACTCGCCTATAGATCTCATATTCAACATTTATAATGAAAACTTATCTCCACGCTGCCCTGTTACCAGGTCAGCCATTCGGATGGCGCTTTTCCATTACTTAGATAGCCACAGATGTGGTTCTGGCTGTTCTAGAGAGAGATTTTGATCTACTAATGATGACAGATAACGAACTCTGCTCCCACCGCAGTCACTCTTTTATTGCATCGAATTGCAGTGGTCCACGGGGGTCACTTTCATTTACATGGTCCTGTCTGTACATAAAAAAGGTAAGAACTGGCTATTTAATCTTTGCGATTTTAGCTTGTCATAGGAAAATGAAGTAGTACCAGTAATTTGCACATCTTCCTACCTGTACAATAGGGGTTGGAATACTTCGACCTTGAAGTGGAAGCAAGAAGGGAGCAGCAAGGATTAGTATTATGTGGGGACGTCATGTAGCTAATAACAGACTTACCCTCCAATCTGTGCAGACTGTAGAATACTTTGAAACAGGAAATTGAAAATGACTGATAGCCAGATCAAACAAGGTCAGAAGTTTTAACAAAGTAACTTTCACAAAGTTAATTCACAACCATCCTATTACTACTGTCTCCATTTTACACATCAGGTCTAGAAGCAAATGCACATGCAAATAACAATTAATGGCTGTAATTACACAGCTCAGGCCACATCAGTAATAATGGTCTTATGAGGAAACCTCTGGAACTAAAACACTGTATGTCTACCACACAGAGTACTTCAGTACTTGAATACACAAACCATACCATACAGAACTGGACAATCCCATACCACACCATATAATAGCATATCACACTGTACTACACAAAACCATACTATATACACAACACCAGGGTTAGTCGCGCCAAGCCATGCCATGACCAGCTGCAAGAAGCCGAGCCAGGAGCACAGCAAGGTCAAGTTGTTTACCTTGATGACTTGTTTTGAGGTATGCTGGTCTCAAACCACAGTAAGACCCCATCACCTGCAGCTCGTCATCTAATATCTCAAAGTTTTTGTAACTGTTCCCCCCTTCAATATTTCAAACTCATCCACTGACATGCATCTTCTTCTTATGGAAGAACAGCACCACTAATGAAGCTCTGCTAACTGACTAACACACTGCACAGAACATAGCTCCAATACAGCTGAGAGAGATCAATAAACAGCAAAATCAAGCCAACATGTAATTATTAAATCAAATGCAACGATTGAAATAAAAGATCTGGTATCTGTGGCTGTTGCAGGACTGTAATAATCATTTCATTAGGATTGAATGAAATGACTGACTGGCAGCCCTGCCTGTATACCTGCCTACCTGCACAAACTGCCTGTGAACATGTGTTTTGGGGGAGTGGTCTGTAGGGAGGCTTGAAGGAAGGGGGTTAAATCTAAGATAATGTTGATCCACATTGGATAGACAATACTTTAACAGAGTCTTTGTATTTTCATCATCATCATGTTTGAGTTGACTTATTTATATTGTCTCATAGTTTATCTAGTACTCCCAGTCAATAGTAATCCTGTGTAAATTGAGTTAAATGCAGACTAATAAGAAGAAGAAAAAGAAGAGGGCAAAGAAGAAGAAATCACTAGTCGCTAAAGGCTCAACAACAGATATGTGTACACTTTCACACCATTATCTATAATGTAAAACTGATTACAGTAACATAATTTAAGTTATTTTAGTGCAGAAATGATAATACTTATACTATCAATTGATCCTGGTCCCCTTAAATAGGATTCATGGTATCCAGAGAAGATCAAGTAATTCTGTTTAGACCAAGCGGGCCCTGACCCTGAAAAACTAAGCAAAGGCGGAAGTGCCAAAAACTGCAGTTCACAGCCTGGTACAGAAAATGGTTTTGGTCCCTATAGCTAATTTCCCTGTTCATAATAACTGTACAAGGGTTGACTTTTTATATAGCTTAGCCGTTTAAATTACATTAAGGCTTAAAGTTATGCATAATTAAGGACGTGGCTGTAAAGTGAAAGGTGGGTGCCCTCTCAGGTACCTCTAAATACATGTTTATGCTAAAACGGGATGTTAAGTTGTTCTTACATCTTCAATACCAAAAATAGAGATCACCCAAAATATGACCCACATCCTTCATGAAATTCTAAGTCTATTTGGGATATCTAGTTTGTTGGAGTTTTCATATAGCTAATGTGTGTTAACCACATGAAACAGACAAGAAGGTTCTATGGTGTCATCAAGCTGTGACTCACACACCACTGCAAGCTCAACCATCCGGTCAGGAGGGACAACCCCTCTATCTTTGGTCAACACACACACACACACACACACAGACACACACACAGACGTGTCTAGGGCTTAGAAAGCCTGGGTTTTGTACAGAGTGTCTCTGAAATTGGTTTCCATTAGCTCCACTGTGATTATTAACTTTCCATTGATATAGCAGCATAGTCAGAGGCACAGTGACGTCAAGCAGTGTCCTTGAGGGAGAAGCAGCACCCAGTCACCTGCTGAGGAGTTCAACAAGAGTGTGTGCATGTGTGTGCGTGTGCGTGCGTGTCCAGAGAAAAAGGGAAGAGCGTACTCACTGCACAAAGCAATGATGTGGCTGCTGTCTTCGTGGACAAATTTCTTAGTCACTGATTCCTCCATAATCTGCTTCACCTGCAAACAAAAGCACAGAAGAGCCAAAGATTTTTACTGTGCCTGGAATCATTGCTATTGTCTTCACTTAGCTGTCACTGCCATTATAGCTTCTCTGCACAGGAAAATCTGTAGTCAGTTATACATCAGGATAAGAAGATTGAAGATATCTTTAGAGGAAATCATTACATACAACACAGCAAATTTCTTAAAAAAGTTTTCATACAAATAAATGTCATTTTGCTCCTCTCTTGGGCTGATATGTAGAACTCGGACTGCACTGACAGAAAATCCAAGACGACATCACAGTGTTGCCCACACTGTTTAACTTACTTACTGTTTAACTTGAACTTAAGTGATTTCTGGGAACTCCAGTGCAGAAACACCACAACAATAAACACTTTGCACTAATGATGTAATAAAGTGTTGAAAAACACCAAGCCCACACCAAATGCTTTCAGCCCCTCTACTGGCTCACAGACACTGCAGTGTTCATTACTACCCACAATATGAAGGTGTTGTTCAAAAAGAACAACATACTGTTAATTTTGCTGTTTAAATATCATGTAATAGGGGTAAGAATGAAAAAGGGTCAAATCAGAGGGGTTCTCAGCAAGCTTCATGCCAATCTACCAACTGAGATTACATGTACAAAGACATTTTTGCCTGATGATGGCAACGAAGGAAAGCTCAAAATGTGTCCAAAATGGTAAGGGTTCATCCTCTGGGGAGTGTGAATGTCCTCTGTAAATTTCCTGACAAACTATTATTTGTGAAAATTTGAAAGATGACCAAGACATTAGGAGTCATCCTCCAGAGAGAATGAATAGGCTAGTCATGCTTTTTTAATTGTTGTTGGATGCTCCTGCTGTTGAATGCCCCACGACGCTTGGATATGCGATCTTGACGGTCTGATAAAGCCAATTGTTCAACAAGCTGCAGAGTTTACATTGACCGATTTTGCAGTTTGCATTCACACTCCTAAAAAATATTTTGCTATACAGCTTGCCATTTTAGCATGAAAAGAAATTGGAAGAAACTGCAGAAGCTGAAAAGTTCACTCACTTACGGTAATAATGGCTTTTCAAGATTAAACTATAGTATTTATGGCTTTAAAAGAGTACCCCACTGCTTTAGCGTCAAACTCCTACAGTATAACATTTTCAATCAATTCTTCACAACCAAAGATACGGCCATTTTTATTTAAGCCATTTATTTTTTCCTTTTCCAAACCTGACCTACATTTCCCACAATGTCACTCGGCTGTCAACAGGTTGGTCTGATAGTTGGTGTGCGGTAGGGATGCACCAAAATGAAAATTCTTGGCTGAAGCTGAAACCGAATACAATGAAAAAATTTGCAGAATACCGAATACCAAACAAGTACATTGACATTGTTGCGGGGTTGGTTTTTTGCATTGTATAAATTAAATAGTCAAAATGTACTTTTTACTCAGTGTTTCCCACAGGATTTGGAGAGACTATGGGGGGAGGGTCCAGGGCCTGAGACGGTCCGGTAAAGTAAATTACATCCATTTACTTTGAATGGACACATGTAATTTGTTTTATACTTTCTGTGAATATGATCCAATTATTTTTATGTCTATGACACCTTATTTTGAAAACTGGACGCTGCCACATGCGTATCCTCGCGCTAAATGAATCAATTCCGACCTAGTTTGATAAATAATGTTGTATGTTGTTCTCGTATGGCGTAACATGAAGACTTCACAGCCTCTCTTCAGTAGGACTCTCATACAGCAACACTTGTCTTTGTAAAGAGACAAACTGACAGGATAAAGTCTCTAACCTGCCTGTCAGCTCGCTCTGGTCCGTTTCAGTGGATTTACCATAAAGGCTTGAATTTCCATTTAGTTTTCCATGTGGCAAGTACCTGATTCAAAACGCATGAAAATAAAATATATTATGCAGACTCCCTTTAAACATCGTGACAGCTACTAATAACAGCGCTGACAGTCTCACACCAACAACTGCACCACTGACTTCCAATTAATATCAGTGCATCCCAGAAACATTCAAATGAGTCTTTCTGCTGCTATCTATTGTGTGTCTGGGGAGGAGAGCCTGAGCGAGTTCAACAACACTGAGTCAGTCTGGTGTTCGCTTGTCTAAGTCTGCTCTCTCTGTAGAATTAATTGTTGTCAGTAATTAATCCAGGACCTGTCTGACACCTCTGCCTCGTTTGGGTCTAATTGATAAACAGGATACATTTAATTGCTTGGTTGTGTGATAATAAAGCTCTAACCACAGTATCACTCCGTTCAAACTTTTTCCGAGTAAAACGGAGGTGTGGGAGGATGTCAGTGTCTGTGATAGAAAGATGGAGGTTCATCATTCTCATCACCAAGATGAGGTTCAGCCTTCATCAAGTTCTGTAATTAAAGTTTTTGGTGAGGGGTGGGATAAATTTTGTACAGTCAGCAAAAGAACTGGCAAGACCAATGACAAATACAGACAACCTTTTTGTCATAAGGAATTAGTGTCCACCTTTTTCAGTCTTGAGCTTGTTTGAGCCCTCAACCTCAACTAAGCTTATGTGCTGACACCAAGAACCGATCTGACACCAGTGCTCTCGTTTACACAAATTTAGAATCTCCATACCTCACTACACGGAACTGAATGAAGCACTTCATTTATATAAGTTAAGTATATATACGTATATAAGTTGTTTCTCTTGCTAACTCCCTAGTCCCTCCGTCTCGTTTGCACTCTCTATCTTGCTCTTCTTAGTCTTGCCAGGAAATCAACAACATAACTTTTTTTATGTCAATTAACATTGCAAAAATGTCAAGAGACCAAACCACATCTACCAAGCCTTCCCTTGCCATTGACCTGGGACACTCCAGCCAGCCCCACGTGAAGGATGAATACAATTTTAACAATTCAATATGAAAATATAATCAGTATCACTGTATTTGATGTATCATACAAAAATGTATATAGAAATATTCAAATGTATTTGCAATTATTGATGGGGACAATTCACAATAAATGTATTGCAACATTGCATGCATTGTGAATTGTCCATTAGTATTATAGTATTTTAATATCCTACTGTTGCAATACATTCATTGTGAATTGTCCCCTATTAAATAAGTTATTATCTTAAAGAGCTCATAGTACCTTACTACCTACTACTCATATTTATGCTGATGACACGCAAATATACTTGCCCGTCAGATCCACAGACCCTGGAATGCTGAGTTCACTTAACAACTGCCTTTGTGAAGTTAAAAAATGGATGTCAAATAATTTCCTCCAGCTGAACTCAGACAAAACAGAAATCCTGGTCATCGGGTCTCAGCAGATGGCAAATCAAATACTGCCATCTGCATCTAGTAAATCACATTAAGCCTGTGGCAAAGAACCTTGGTGTTTGGTTTGATAGTAATTTAAATTTCGAGCAGCACACCACAAAGCTTGTTCAATCATGTTTTTATCAACTTAGAAATATAGCTAAAATTCGATCTATGTTAACTTTTAAGGACACCGAGACCATTTTACACGCCTTCATCTCATCACGCCTGGATTATTACAACAGCCTTTTCACCTGTTTAACCCAAAAATCTATTGATCGACTCCAGACTGTCCAGAACTCAGCTGCCAGGCTTTTAACCAGAACAAAGAAATATGACCACATTACTCCTATTTTAGCTTCATTACACTGGCTCCCAGTATGTTTTAGAATTGACTTTAAAATTCTATTGATCACTTTTAAAGCTCTTCATGGCCTCTCGCCTTGTTATATTTCTGACCTTTTAGTCCCATACGCACCAGCACGTACCTTGAGATCCTCGGGCAGAGGTCTGTTGTCTGTTCCAGAGTCTCGACTGAAAACTAAAGGGGACAGAGCGTTTGCTGTCAGGGCCCCGAGGCTCTGGAACAGCCTGCCCGAGGAAATCAGGTCGGCTGAGTCAGTGAACTCTTCTGTCATGAGTCCCTTCTTAAAACATACTTTTATAGGAGAGCTTTTCCCCGATCTTATTTGACTTTATTTTATCCCTTTTATTTTATTGTATTTTACTAATTTTATATGAAATTTTCATGCTCTTATCTTTTTTTGTATTATTCTTTACACTTGTTAAAGCACTTTGTAACTTGTTTTTGAAAAGTGCTCTACAAATAAGGATTATTATTATTATTATTATTATTATTATTACCCCACCAGAGCACTGCACTCCCAGAATGCAGGGTTACTTGTGGTTCCTAGAGTCTCCAAAAGTAGACTAGGAGCCAGAGCGTTCAGCCATCAAGCTCCTCTCCTGTGGAACCAGGTTCCAGTTTGGGTTCAGGAGGCAGACACCATCTCCACATTTAAGAGTAGGCTTAAGACTTTCCTCTTTGATAAAGCTTATAGTTAGGGCTGGCTCAGGTGAGTCCTGAACCATCCCTTACTTATGCTGCTAGACTGCCGGGGGACTTCCCATGATGCACTGAGCTCCTCTCTCCTTCTCTATATGTATGCAACTTTATCCCATTAATGCATGTTACTAACTCGACTTCTTCCCTCTCACATAGTCTTGTGCTTTCTCCTCCCTCTCCTCTCCCCTCCTCACTTTCTGCAGGTGTTTCTGGCTCCATAGCTATGGAGTCTGGATCTGTGGTTTCAGGCTTCTTGCTGCCCCTGTGTTCCTGCGCAGCACCAGTTGCTACAATTATTATTATTAATCATATTAGTATTCTCATTACTATCATTATCAGTAATATTATTCATTTTCATTGATGTACCACTACCACTTAAACTGTTGTTATATATATATGAAAATGTATTATTTTTGTTTTCATTTGCTTTCAAGCTGATGCTAAATTAAGTGGAGATTGTTCATTTGTCTATAGAACATAGAAAAGATATAAATTCAGGTATGATGTAGGTATGATGCAAATAAGCGACACAAAGACATAATTCTGATGTTCCGTGTGTTAATGCTGGCATACAGAGCCTTTGATTGACCACATCTTCAGAGATGTGCAAATAGATCCATATATTTATCTACAGCTATA